ACCGAGTAAACTGCTACAGAAATTGCGATATATTGACTACTTTCATCGTTACTTCACACATTTCCCATTTGATCTCCTTATTGGCTTTCCTCTAAGCACCATTGACAGATAATTGACATTAGACAGAAATGGCATATAATCATTACTCACATGTGTTCAAAATAGGAAAAGAAAATACCTTAACACAATACATTTGTGCATATCAATACTTCCAGGCCTGTTTAGTGTTTAATTCAGTGCCCCAAATCAATCAACTCATTGTACCTTTTTTTAAACAAAACTTTATTTATAGTCCTGCTCAATCATTTAATCAAGATTTGGGTAATCTAAAGCATTTTATATCACACAACTAAGGGGAAATCAATGCAAACAGTACAGTGCCATGCAGCAAGTAAACATATCTTATTACAGAGGTACTTAATATGGCCCACAATTCAGGATCTCCGTTCTACAATGGAATCCATGGCTGTGACTGCTGTGAGTTATGTTAATGCATAAGCGCTAGGACAGTTCTTATGCAAAGCACAAAACTATACCTCAGGTTCACTAAGACTTCGTCATGCCAATACCTCTTGTTTACCTGAATCAAAAACATGTTTTTCCCCTCAGATCTCTTTTGACAAACATTGATCCAAGACTGAACTCTGCTATAGAAATTAACAATAACCTCAAGACCACAGTAATTCTAGGTATGTGCCATCAGATTTTGCTGAAGGGCATTGTTGTATCTTAAAAAGAAGCTCATGTAGTGTAAATGACATTATTGAAGCCAGAAGCCATGAATGTTCGTCTTTACCACAAAGAGTGTGTTCTGTCATCAGATCCATGATAACCCAAAACTGGCGAGATTGGTTTGTATTGCAATAATCTGTTCATCATATCAGATCAGCTACTGATAATGTACTCCAATCAGATTTCTGATGTTTTACTGATATGACCTCTCACCAATAAACATTTGACAATTCGTATGTTTACATACACATTCATCACTCAATCTATTTCAATACATATGATACTAAAATAGTGTATCTCTGGGTGTTTTGAAATAGCCAGTATTTGGATATGTGCAGTTGCAACATTCTTTAAAAACTTTCTTTATATTACCCAAAGTGAAAACTAGCCTTTTGAGAACGCGAAGGACCTACAAATATCTTATTTATTGAATACAGTATGTGCTTAAATGTGACATGAAACATATTGTGTTCATAGTATTGATTAGAACCTTTCAATCTTCAGAGAAGCCAATATTTTATGTTATTCAATGATAACTAACAATATGTGTGACCTTGGGCAGTACACTGTATGGTACAGCTGTTGTGTCTGCACATAAGCCCACTGGGACGGTTACTTGGGAACAAAATGTCTTGAGGTCAATAGTAGAATCTGAAATTATGGAAGTAAATGAGTTAAGCTTTCAGCGATTGGAAACATCAATCAGTCTTGACTATTTTCACATACAGATTCCATAGGCTTGTATGAAAGGTTCAGAACTTGTATTTATGGATTACTGAAAATCAGTGATGACATCAGATGTTTGCTAAAAGGGTAAACATGTTCTGCTCTATTGGTAGCACCTGTCACTCACACTATTTCCATTAGAAGAGTAAGTGCCAGCAAATAGAAAGGTGCGAAAATGCCAAGTAAAAATAATAGCATGGAATAGCAGTGCACGACTTTGCCAGTTGTGTCATATCTAGGAAATTATCAATATAATTCAATATGTCTGCATCTGTTTATCTGAAGTCAAATATAATTCTGTTCATTCTAGTAGATATTATAACACTAAACCCTACTCAAACTGGTGCTAGTCTGGGAAAATAGAATTGTCTTTAGAAACTTTTTCAGCACAGACTTCAACAGGCAAGCCCTCGTTTTGGGAACAACAATCTAGCTATAAGACAGTCATGTGTTAGAGTATTGCCACCGAATACATAAGTCAAAACAAGCACTGATTGCTCTGGACCAGTCCTTATCCTGAATCCCCATGGTGACCAAAAGAATGCCCATCGCTTAATGTAACTATGTAGAGAAAATTGTACACACATATACCATATGTTCTTGTGTTTGTTCTGGCATACTTGCCTTGCCTTTGCATGCATCATGAGGTCCACCTACTTGTAAAAACCTGATTCCATCAGTATTTAATCGTGATTCTTTAAAAACATGCTCATAATGTATTTCTTATGATTATGGAAAGACCTTTATTTATTTATTAATTATTACAATTAAGGCAAGAGTTTTGTAACTTTCATTTGGAGTACATGACATTTGGTATAAAATATATGTAACGTTTCTAATGGTATTGATTTAATGCTTTCGTTAATGCCATTAATGTTGGAATTCAAATATTAGCTGAGATTCATATCACTCATCACAATAAGCAAGCTCAATACATAAAAATATTGCTGTTAATTGCAATGAGCATCTGAATACTCTAAAACTGAGCTAGGTATGCTCCATCTTTGTCAAAAGCATAATTCACACACATCAGTGAGATTAATGCTACATATATTTAATAAATGGAAAGTGTGAAAGTAATATTTCAATCATGCGTGAAAATAAATAGGATTTAATAAATGATATGGAAAGCTTCAGTCAACAGTATCATGGATATCAGTTCCATGATGCCAGTATTTCTATCAATAATTATACCATGTATTGCACCCTCGGTTCCAGTAAATGGGCATCAATTATAGAGCCATTACAAATATTAGATGAGTGGAAATGCACAAGACTGATGACTATAAAATGAAAACCAGAAAGAGCAATATGATCTCATAAAAGTTACACATGCTAATAGTTTTTACAATAAGCCATTTAAACAATACTTGATGCAAGTGTTAAGTTCATATCCGGCAGATAAATGTAGATGTGCTAAGAGGTCTGTTAACACGAACAAATATAACAATGTCTTACAATGTTGGCCCGTGGACAACTATCCTACTAATTGCATAGCGGTTCTGTCCTTTGTCAAGTTTGAGGCCCATCTGGATAGGTTGAAGTGTTATATATCATGATGTACAATAACTGCAGCTTATTCCCTGATAAAGTTAAAACATGTATCTTAGTTTGACAGAGAAATTGTTGTCACATATCTGAAGGTGCCAACTGACAATACATGTCGTGTGACTCAAGCCTTTGCAATAAAAGCTTCTTGATGAAGAAATGATGAGGTATTATTTCTGTCACAGTCACATCTCCCCTCAGCTATAATTACAGACCTAAATAATTTAGGTTCATGCCATTACTGGCGTAGGAGTGAGTGTGTTTGGTTTAACACTGCTTTGAATAGTAATATGTTGTCAATAAAATCAAAGAACATCAGCTCCATGTTGCAGGGAAGGGATGCAAAGATGGCTGGCTAATGATCTAAATAACAGTGATCGATAATCATGAACTGAATGTTGATTACCAGTAAATATCGGAGAAGGAACTTTGAGCTAAAATGCCAAAAAGTCATCCTTTCTCATGTCACTAGTGAGTGGTGACATTTATGCATGGGTTACTAACAATTACAGTCGTGTTGTGTATTCAATCATAATCGTCAGGTAGTATTTTGTCTTCAGTGCATGTATGTGTAAGAAAATTGAAATTTAATTTCATTACAATATTTTTTGATACATGTTATCAATGACTCAAATTTCCCATCGATTCCACTGATGATATTGTGATTATCGATCTCCAGCCGCAGATGCACATACCTGACATTACCACTTCTACAAAAGCATGAGAATGGTGCTGATAAAGAGACACATAATAGAAGCACTCTTGGATTCGAACACATGATCATAGGTATCTGCTGTTGGCAAGGGAAGCAACTCTACACAGCGAATTGTGTCACCTTCCGCACCTCTGTTGAGATTATTTCTTTGTGAATGTCACCACAGACAAAACATTAGTAGATAATCTAAGCAGCATCTCAAACAAACCATGATGGTGATAATAATCAGGAACAAAGCATATTATGACAGCAAACTATAAGTAATCATGCCTGAATCTAATAAGTTATGGTTGTTACCATTAACAAATCATTGCCACACATAATGTCCACACTGTCACAAAAAACCCAAGTAATTCCTACTTTGATCAGTAAGATTTAATCATATCAAATGATAGCTGTGAAATGTAAACATAGATCTTTATCAATGAGCTATTCTAATATATGCCATAGAAAAGTGTAAACATGAGTATACACATTGCATAGCCAGTATGTTGCGTAAACAGGTCTATATATTACTCTTGAGCACATAAACCATATTCAAACAAATTGGACAGTTTACAAATACACAGTGTCCATATATCACAATGAAATGTAATGAAATTTTATCGACCGACACCTTTGTCTGAGCAATGTAATTATAACTCATGTAGCATGCAATCTGTTCTTTGGTTTAGCTGATCTTTTTAAAATACAATGTACTTGTATCAAGATAATATTCCACTTAAGCGTTAAGCATTCAAACACATTGATTGGTGAGACAGAATGGGACCAAACTTGCTCTTTACTTCAAAATAAAAGATTGTAGTGACTTTCAAAACAAAATATATAAGTAGCCACTTTACTTTTACTTCTTCCATAATGATTATGCACAAAACAAAAAGTTAATAAGGTTTCATGAAATAATGTTTGAAAGAATAAATGGCTTCTGCTGTTTTCAGATGCATTTCTTTGGAGCACATAAATCCAAAACAAACTTTGTCTACCTTTCAACAATATCCTCATTTTTTCTACCATGAAAGATCCATAATTATGGTAGCAGTTTCAGAAATCTTGGGGATTCAGGGCTGCATTACCACATAAAAATATGTACCACATAAATCTTTACACATAGCATTAGATTAGTGAGAAAGATCCATTGACTTTAATTTGTCATTATTAACAGCTACAACAGCAGTGAATCCTAATCCTTTGTGTATAGCTTCCCAAAAGTGTCACACTTCTCTTGAACATTTCATTGTCTTTCATATAGTTATGAATGTCAGCAAAACTAAAAACTTACCTGTTGATGAAAGTAGTGGGTTGAGGAAGAAATGGAGAGCTCCCAAAAGAATATGTACATTCCAGAAAGTTGGCAGCCTCATGCTTGGTACAGTCGACAACAGACTTTAGCAATACATATACACAAGGTAGATTGGTTCCGTAGATCCATGAGGGGCATACACACGAAGCATGTGTCACCAGCAGTCTGTGCACCAATAAACTATCACAGGATATATTAAAACACGACACAAAATCTGTATTCCAAACTGATACTTTAAATGGTGTTCATCAGAGCTTGATCCAGAACTTCATCCATAGGAAACACTGATAAGGTGCTACATTTTGCTCAATAAGGATGAATTATAAATCACACACTTTCACGTAAATACGTTGTGTTTCCTCTCTCAAAGTTAAATTGTATCACAGGAGACAAACATCTATTTACTATTTCCCAAAACACAATATATGCTCATCGAAACTTGTATCTATTAATTTGAGTGTCAGTAGCAAAATGATGAAATCAAAACATCCAAAACTCACATTACAACAACAGTTATAACCAGGACCACTGTTGGTGTAAAGCTATAAAATTAATAGCTTGTACCGACAAAAAATTATACCATAATCATCACAAGTTATTTTTCTGCAGTTATCTGAACACTTGAACACAAGTTCATAACCTTTTTCTTAATAGCGATGAATTTTCAAGATAAGAAATAGATCAGCAGTAGACTAATCAATTTGGGTGTAGAAACCAAATGTTTGAACCTTGCAGGAGTGATTCAAGATTGTGAACTTCCACATCAATCATTAGGGGTTTAGTTATTCCAATCTGTGATTTCTCTCATCAAACTCGAGTCGGTTTTCACTGATAGATGCGTGACTTCATTCCTTGATATTATTGACTTCTGGGGTGAAGTTTGCTTGAATCTGTCCTGTGTTGGATTAGGCACATCCCACAGCATGACCTTAGATCCAGCTTTTCCTTTGGTAATTCCACACTCCAATTCCACAGTTCAATACATCCCAGTCTGTTTTTTATGTATGCGATTGTCACAGCACACCAAAAGCCTGTAGCAGGATGGCTTGTTACAGTACCAATGTGATAAGAACCCTGTAACAGAAAAGAAGGAACTTTCATAAATAATCGGGTGTTGTGCTCCGTGATAGGATTTACGATTTCCACCCTTTGATGTTTATCAAGAGTATTGACACAACATGTAGCGTGCAGTAGGTATGATATCCCGTAAACTCTCACTGGAGGATAAAGGTGGGGGAGATACTGTAGTGTGATCAGTGTTATATGAAGCAATCGGCCACACGCCTGGTCGTTGACAAACGCTCCGATTGGATTTAACGACACGGCATATTCACCTGCCCGGCCCTGGCATTGTGGCTGGGCACGAGACTGCTACCTGAGAAGTTTAGTCACTCAATAATTAGTCATGGAACTTGCCACAGTTTAACACTGTGATATAGGAAGAATAAATTATTAATATGAGCTTGTCATACTCAATAGTCACACTCTAACTCAACAATGACAAAGAGCACAGAGGTCCTAGAATTGATTACAATGAGTTGGGGGTGATTCACACTAAGCAGATTGAAGGACTAGCTGCTCAGTTCCACAGCAGATACCACTATTGGCTAATGAACGAAAAGTGTCAGGTGAAAAAAAGTGCTTTTCTCATATAACTATATCTCATAGTTACTGTGATCATGCTTTAACAACTTAACACTTAAAAAATTAATGGAATTCAACACATACTTTTTGTGTGGCCATTTTCCATTTACTACTAGGAATAATTATTTTCAAAAAGCACACAGCATCTTTTTGTTATTCATATGGTCATATGCCTTTACACGAAAGAGATGACATCATAGGGAATTAACGACAAATTATGAAGCTGCATAATTTAATTGTCCATTCAAACCGTAACATTCCTTTGTAAGAATGTAGAAGTGTGAGCTGTATTCAGTTCTCAACTGGAGCTATGCATAATGGATTACAAACACTACCTTTAGCAAAACATCTCTCAAACTAATTCTAAATCTGTCCAATTCTCAGACAGGTATAAAAAGATCATGCACCACCTGTTCCCAGTGTAAATGTTCAATTAGTAAGGTTATGTGAGCTGACCTGACTTCAAAACACCCTCAGTTGGTTTGACTCATACACATTCCAGTGCAACAGATCACAGTTGCCAATTTGTAAATATTTCTGAAGTAAGGCAGTTTGAATTGGATGTATTACAACAAGGTATTGAAACCAACACATTGCTCAAGTACTTTGCTTTCATCTTAGTGAAAGCACAATGTTTGGCCTGTCCTGTATGGCCGATTATCTCCCTCCCATCCTGTCTATCAAACCATGGCTGGTCGCCAGATTACAGGTAACGGACAATGCATTTGTCAAGTTCTCTTTCACATCCTCTCTTCGCTGGGGGCCTATCTCAAAGCCAAAGTATTTTTGAAAGCAAGATATTAAAAGTCAATAACCATGGAAAGATCTGTCTGAAGGAATAAAACACACAGCTTTAAGAAAACATACAGCAACATAAAGTTGATGTGTGGATCATATAGGTTACAAAATAAATGGGATAAACGTTTCAGTAGAGTCTTCTTTGATCCTGATTGATTAGCTGTAGAAATACAATATGTCATTAGCAAGTGTAGTGGAGGTCTGAAGCAAATATGTGTACAATTAGGAGGGAGTGGCCTGCATCATTTCATACAGCTGCCATTTGCATACAATATATAAATCTCATCAACCCATGCCAGGAATACTAATGAAGCTGGAGTCCTCAGTCACATTTCCACACAGTTCACTTCACTCTCTTCCATCAGAAGATCATTCATACATATCATGAACCCATACGTCTATCAAAAGTTCTCACATTGAGTTAGTTTAATGCCAGTCAGCAATATTTAAACTATATCAGGAAGAAGCTGAATCTGGTCAAGACAGAGTTTTCTCATTTGGTATTGTCATTATTTGACATGGTAGATATTTCCAGGAATAATATCCAGGTATTTGTAATGTACCATAATGATATATCCACATAAGCTATTTCCATGGTGTATTCACATAAGGTACTACTATGATACACTCATACATAACTACATGCATTATAACATACACACATAGAGTACAACTATGACATATCCACATAAGCTATTACCATGGTGTATTCACATAAGGTACCACTATGATACACTCATACATAACTACATGTATTATGATATACAACATGCATTATAACATACACAGAGTACAACTATGATATATCCACATAAGCTATTACCATGGTGTATTCACATAAGGTACCACTATGATACACTCATACATAACTACATGTATTATGATATACACACATAGAGTACAACTATGATATATCCACATAAGCTATTACCATGGTGTATTCACATAAGGTACCACTATGATACACTCATACATAACTACATGTATTATGATATACACACATAGAGTACAACTATGATATATCCACATAAGCTATTACCACGGTGTATTCACATAAGGTACCACTATGATACACTCATACATAACTACATGTATTATGATATACACACATAGAGTACAACTATGATATATCCACATAAGCTATTACCACGGTGTATTCACATAAGGTACCACTATGATACACTCATACATAACTACATGTATTATGATATACACACATAGAGTACAACTATGATATATCCACATAAGGTATTAAAACAATTTACTTAAGGTACTACACTGATGCATATACATAAGGTACTAACATGATATATTCACATAAAGTACTGCTATGATATATCATGATGTCATAGCAGATAACATTCATCACAGATGTGATATCTTTAATAAGGTGAGGTGAGGTGAAATTGGGTTTAACATCGTGCTTGAGAATATTTTGCTCATATGACGACCTGCATGTGCGTGTATGTGTATGTGCGGCTGCTTGTACTAGCCCAGACTGAAGCTGGTTTTATAGTGCTAGCCCACTGAGATACCATGCCGCAGTGAAGCATGAATACCCCACTCAGACACATTATACTGACTCCGAGCCGACCAGTCCTTGTTGTACCCATTAATGCCGAGCGCCAGACAGGGACCAACAAGTACCATATTTTAACGTCTTTTGGTATGACGCGGTCGGGGATCGAACCCGTGACCTTCTGCTCTCCGGGCGGACGCTCTAACCACTACACCACGGAGGCGGTCTCTTTAATAAGAGCCTTGTGATAAAGATGATATAAATACATTTATCGATGCATTCTGATAACTTCAACACATGAGTGGTTACTGATTAACATCCTTTGACCATAAAACACTGCATCAATATATGTTAATAAACCTTTGAGTCTCTCTTTTTGCACTTTCACAGTATCTTTGTTGTGATAGGAAGTTACAGATATCTTGATAAAATAACCATGTCCTTTACTATTGTCATTTTTAAATCTTTACGGTTTAACTATATCCTTGATAAAACTTTGAAATCTACAATGCCATTTTAGAAAGTGGTCAAATGTAATCTATGTTACAAGGAAAGTGTAATCCCAAATATAACATATGTTAATAAAACTTGTTTTAAATATTTCACCAACAATTTACAGATACCTACTGCCTGGTAAACAATTTCATAAGAGAGGCAATGATTTATCAAAGTCTTACTTATGCTCAGAGAGAGAAGACTGACTGACTGACTGAGTTTGGTTTTTACGCCGCCGCTTTTAGCAATATTCCAGCAACATCACGGCGGGGGACACCAGAAATGGGCTTCACACATTGTGCCCATGTGGGGATTCGAACCCGGGTCTTCGGCGTGACGAGCCAACGCTTTAACCATTAGGCTACCCCACCGCCCCAGAGAGAGAAGGCACAAACAATGAATTTTCACAAAACAAATGAACATACAATACTGTCTACATATGGCAACAAATTAATTGTTCAGTCTATGATGAATACGCGCATAAACATTTCACCTTAACTGCATGGCATATTTACCTTATATCTTATATACTAGTACCACTCACAAGAAGTTTTAAAGAACACCCTTTCAAATTAATACTTCAATATGTCATGGCTGTTTATTATTTGTCAGCATCATAAAGCTGTAGAAATAATGTCTGTTAAGCACTACATGATCTTAAATGCCCATCTCTTATATCATCACACAGACTATATTTCAACAGCACATGCTTTTTCTCTCTTTGTATTTTACACATAATCTATTCACGTAGGCATGGAAACTATGGAGATATAGATAAATCACCAACTCCATCATATGTACACAACCTACATGTTTATATATATTGATTGTATATATATTCAAGAGCAAGAGATGGTAACAAGTTACCAAAAACAAATGTAAACAAAAACATTGACATAAGAAAGGAAAACAAATGGTTCTGACATCTGATTCCCATATCAATAAATTAAGAGAAACAACAAAGTGACACTTGTATCCCACACTTTACCTGCCTATCCCTATGAAGTGCACTGATCTGACTAGGGTATCCTTATTCCCTGTGTTACCTTCTACTTGGCCAAGCATCCAGGCATAACAGTCCTTCGGGAGAGAGCACATCTGACACCAGAGTAAGACCTGCTGAGGCCATGTGATACGACCATGTAAAATACCACAAGTATGTCTGGGGGAATACAAGCTATTGCACATACCTGCCTACTGACAAATACCATGGCAAGCGTGATCAACCCTTCAATATTCACCTACCTTCAGTGTGAAATACTTCACGTAACATCATAGCATGTTCCACACTTGTTGTACACTGTGGTGTGTATGGTGAATAATTATGCACAAAGCCACATGTGAAATGAGACCTCACTGAATAAAGAATCCCATTACAAGACCAAAGCAGACTGTCAACATGTCTTTAGTAACATTTCACCTACAGCGTTCATTCAGAATTCATAGTGTGCTAGAACTGGAGTGGTTGAGCTATGACGAATTCAAGTTACAGCATTACCAGTAGTTAAACAGACATGCTACACAAACAGACATGTACCTTGTAACAAAATGTATGAACAGCAATTATTGTTTTCCTCAAAGATGTTTCAGCCTTGTGACTGTTGTATGGCTATTTTGG